CACGGGTCGTCTGTATCGTGATCGATACAGGGTTTACCATCGTCACTGGGGTTTGAGAGCTGCTGTTTCTATCATCGGTGGACATGCCGGCTCGTCCAGTCGATGCATGTTGATACGACATCGGTAGGTCGATGCAACAGCACGTCAATAAGGAGTCGAGTGGCTCTTCCAATGTGTAGGAAATGTGAAACAAACCCTGCAGTAGTGAAATGAAAGTTATTCTGTTATGCCTTGATAAAGTCACGTTAAGAACGTCGGCCACGGTCGTGTTGCGCCAGGTGGTAAGGAACGAAGAGGATACTGCAGGGCCATTTTGAACTACTGGCAATGTCCCTTTCCTTGTGGATGGCACGGGTTGCTGTGGTCCAGTGGTCTCAAACACGTGGCCTGCGTGGCCCGCAAGACGATATTTTGCGGCCCGCTACCTGAAAGCAAAGTTTAGTGTTGATGCAGCCCTCGCGTTTTCCCCATTCTCATCTCGATAATGTGACCCTCTGCGACGGTTTCAGGAGAATCTCACCGACTAGTCTAAATCTGATCTTTGTTTTAGTTTGTATAAGTTTGGACGCTGATTATAATGGTAAAAACGGTTTTAATGTCAGATTAAACGTTTTTAAAAAAAAATATTTTAAAGCATTTTATGAGACAAAATGGCCAAACTGCGATTGAAAAGTATGGAAAAGTCATGTTTTCTTTACAAAATAATGGCGTTCATATACGATTTAAAAGAAGGACCAGTTTTGATAACACATAAAAATTTCTACCTAATTTTTAAAATTATCTATTTGACTCGGGTAAAACTTATTTAGCAATAAGCTATTATTATAAATAAATGTATTATATAAGTATTTATTTTTCATTTGCATTCAACATATAAAATGATGTTAGCAGTGCTTTTTTTTTCTTCTGAAACTTCATTATTAACTATGTAGTTAGGCCCCAAAAAATCTTTCAATAAAAAATGAAAGCCACATTACTATTTAATAGTAGTAATCTAAAAATGTTAGAATAAGACACGCAGGTCAAGCAGAGCTTCCCTCGACTTTTTAAAGCTCTTTTTGCCACTTTTGGTTTTGTTCTTCCCCACTTTGCATTGAAAGATGCTAAGTAAGAAAATATCCACATCATATCTTTAAGTCCTTAAAATATCCGAGGCCCACTGCAGTCGTAAGGGTTGCTGGGCTCACACTATGTTTCTAAGGTTAAATGACACCCACATTTTTTTAAATTAGCATTTCTTCCGTTGCTCTCCAAGTTTAGAATGCTGCAAAACTAAATTAAATTATTTACTAAAATGCATTCTTGTATTTTGAATTGATCAACAAATTTCTGGGGACTAAAAGGATGTAATAGACAGGCAATGATAAGCTAGGGAAAATGCATACCACCAAGAGCACCACACTGGAATAAGTGAGTTATTTCAGAACTTTTCGGGTTTATTTACTAAAATGCATTCTTGTATTTTGAATTGATCAACAAATTTCTGGGGACTAAAAGTATGTAATAGACAGGCAATGATAAGCTAGGGAAAATGCATACCACCAAGAGCACCACACTGGAATAAGTGAGTTATTTCAGAACTTTTCGGGGGGGGGGGTGGGCAGTGCCAGTTGATTTATTGTTGGATATATTTTGCTCGGGGGGGGGCACTTGGCTTTCCCCGGGGGAGGGGGGAAGTGCCCTCCCGGAGATATAGCTGAAAGAAACCCTGACTGGAATGAATTTAGTTCATCTTCCCCTGGTGCTGCGTTAAAGATGTCTTTGATCATTACTATGGATAATTTTGGCTCTTCCCACGCGAAAGTTTGAAATGTCACCTTAACATTGTCTGAAAAAAAACACCAAATTAAGGTATGAGCCAAAATCCAGTTTATGTATGACACTGGCGCAATAAAGCCACCCACTAAAGCTTAAAAATTTCTTTCCCCTGATAAAAAATTCTATTAGAAATTTTAGAAACGTTGAATTCAAGTATTCTAAAAAATGCAACTCTAAATTTTGAACTAAAAAAAAATCTTAGGAGAAGGCTTCCCAGACCCCTCCACCGTTCAGGATTCATCTTACTTGTTTACTTTTACCTTTTTACTCCGTCTTGGGCATAGGGTGTCTACAAGAATTTTCCAGTAATCTTGTCCTGTGCATACCTTTCCTATTGCTTCCATGTGTATCCCATACTTTGTGTGTTTGCCTCTAGCTGGCGTCTCCATGTATTTTGAGGGCTTCTTCTTTTTCCTTGTGGATTTTATGCTAGGCATTGTCTGGTGATGTTATCTGGGGGTTTGCGGAGGATGTGCCCTATCCACATCCATCTTTTCCTTATGATGTCTTCAGCAAGAGGCTCCTGTTATCTAGTAACTCTTTGTTAGTGATGGCGTTTGGCCATTTGATTTTCAGGATCTTTATAAGGCAAGTGTTTATGAAGGCTTGCACTTTCTGCGTAATGCTCACTGTTGTTTTACAAGTTCCGGCTCCCTTTGGTAGGCCTGTTTTGACATTTGTTTTGAAAATTCTGACTTTACAAGCCTTTACAATTCTAGCCCTGAATTTCGCTTCGGATCCACCGTTTAAGTCAATGGTGCTGCTGCCTAAGTAAGTGAAGGCTTCTACTTCTTCCATTGCATTTCCTAGCAGAGAGGTATGCTCTTGGTTGGCTGAGTTTACAATTATGATTTTGTCTTGCTTTTATTTATATAAATAAAAGCAAGATTCATTGGTGCGCTCGATTTCTACCCTACACCCAATGAAAATGGTGAATAATTTTGGTGACAAGAGATACACTGCAAAGTGGCGTACCTACTTTTAATGCCACCACGGGGCCAAATAATTTGCCGCTCTCCCTTTCACAATACAAACTTTGCAGTTGTCAGAAAATGCCGCACATCCATGTAAATAAAAAAAGGGACACTTGTGTGAAAAACCTAACCCTCCCCCATTCTACGCCACTGGAAAGGGCGTAGCTAGAGTGTTTGGTGTCAGGGAACATGATTAAATTTTACGCCCCCCCCCCCCAAATGCGA